GGGATGGGTGTGTCAGACAGTGTGATTGGCCCAGGACAGAGCAGGGTTTAGGGCTGTTGTACATAGGGTCGCTATGAGTCGCAAACGACTCGACGGCACATAACAACCACAACATATAGATTAACATTAAACATTTTTAGGCTTTTAATTGTTTGAGACCTTGATCATAAAACTAACTATGCAATTCTTAAATTTTGGAAATTTGTATGATTAAAATGTAGGTGACAAGAATAGGTGAGGATTTCTTCAAACTTCAAATTTATTTTAAGAAACAAGTTTCGTTATTACTATTTGGACCATGTGATCACACGAGAGCTTTATACACAGAACTGGAGAAAAAAACACATTTTTTATTAAGTATCATAAAAGTACAACATTAATATTTTATGCAAGATTAGAATGTATATTAAAATACAGAATTTTAATAAACATGAAAAGCGCCTGTCTTCAGAAAATGGCACTGAGCCACTTGTGCCAGAGAATGCTATCTTTGTTAACTCATAGCAACAGAATGCTGAACATAATCTGCACGTTTAAACTTTGATTGTCATAAAGTTTCATTATTTTAACTGAGTGTATTAATACAAACTATACTGTTTAAATGCACAATGCAAGCTTGCTTAATCCTGGGGTACTTTTGTAGTATTTTTATGAATACTAGGTTTATTCATAGATAGAACTTTTACCACATAAATGTCAATTATTTTCTAGTTGTTCTTAAATACTAGGTAGGTTGTTTGCGGGAAGTGCTGGATCATCAGTGAGTTACTTGCTGTTTTTCCTTTTCTGCCATTTCTTGTTGGTGAATTGTATTCTGTGCTGCTTGTTGCATTTTCTCCAGTTTTTCCAGAGTCAGAGATTTTAAGGGTAAAAGTTTAGGCTTACACAGCACCATTGTATTTACATCTTCTACAGACAGCTGCCCTAAGTTTTAACAAAAAAAAACCCAACACATTCATCAAGTAAGAATAAGTGGTTTGGATTTACAGGCAAAACAAACAGCTAAATATTTAATCCATGTAAATGAAACTCATTCCTACACTGAGTTTAGTGTGGGACCAGAAACATAGCCCTTCTGCATTAACAATTTCTTGATCCATGGGCAAGGTAAAGGGCTACTGAGGAAATGAAGTTTGGAATTTTCTGTGTAAGAATGGCTGCCCTTGATTATAATACTAAAGGCTGGAAGGTCAAGCCCCTTAGTGGTAATGTTGAAGGACTCGGTGAACTGTTGCTATTAGGAGGGAGTCCAGCCAAGAAAATCCTGTAATAGTTCTATGTAAACATATGGGATCACTATGAGTCTGAATCATAAGCCTTGGTAGTGAGTTTGGTAGTTTTCTTCACTCAAGATTATAAACTACCTTGAGACATGACAATTTATGGTGTTTAATTTGAAGTGAGATGTGGGAGAAGGAAAAAAAAAGCAACAAAACAAGTCATGGCCATTGAACAGGAATTACCTCATAGTTGACCTTCCAGTAAGTTTTCAGAAGCTGTAAAATGGCATGGGAGAAGACTGCCCACTTTCCTCCCAGAGAGTGGCTGAAGGGTTTGAACCGGGACACTGGGTCAGTAGTAGTGACTCAACCCTCTAGGCCACCAGATCTCTCTTATTTAACATGATTACTCAAATGCTTTCTTACTGTTGATTAATTTAGGCTCCCCTTTCTTAGACTTTAATACTGTGAATCAAGTTCTTTCATTGATAATTTGATACTTCAATCTTGAGCTATAATAGGCTTTTCAGATTTTAAAAATAATGCTTTGTCATTCTTTTACTGGAAAAAGGAAACAAAAAAATCCTTCTGCAACTAACTTGAAAGAATTATAATAAAAAGTGGGTAATAAACGAGGCATGGGGAGTACAAAAAAAACAGATACTTGCTATTAAACGTACTACATAACACTGCCTATCACATTAGCAGTGCTTAGAATATTCCACGATCTCTTTGTAAATACCTTGTTTTGGAAGAACTTCCCGAAACATTGACTTCACTTCCGCCATTTCTTAATTGTTAGGCACAGTAAGTTTCTTCCTTTAATGAAACATCAATATTATTACTCAGAAACACATCTCCAAAGAATTTATGTGTATTTTTCATTATGGCTTAAGATCACAATTCCTATAGAACGAACTACTCTTGACTGCATAACTGACTCAATGTCTCTTCATTGTAACAAAGTTGAGATGGCATCTAAATCTTACTGCCTTTCATTAGATTACAGGCTTGGCATAAAAATGTTCCCCCTTCAGTGAACAATTAAGAGTACAATTTGTTTTTCATGCAGATAATTTCTAAGAAATACCAAGTAAATAAGCACCTGTCTGTAATCACCACATGGCTAACTGGTAGCCACTTCCGTGACATGGTTAATGGAAAGAACACGACCACCATTTGGGAGATGGGATGCGACACCCAGTGGATGGGAGGAGGAGCTGGTTGGAGGCATTTCCCACAACAGCTAACAGCTAGTGTCTCTCTTAATCCCCTTGTAATAGTAAAGTATCTAAAGGATCAGTTATAAATATTGCTGCCATTTTAAGGAGGTTAGAAGGGGTCAGTTCTTAGAAAAAGATATGCTAGGGAAGACAGAAGGAGTTGGAAAGAGAGGAACACCCTTAAGATGGACAGAGACTACCAAAGGAGTTGAGCATATTAGATGGATAGGTAAAGTTCAGATCTGTTCTTAGCGTCACTGAGTTGTCAATTTGAGAGCACCCAACAAGTCCACCACCACAATTGGCGAGTTGATTTCTGGACTTAAGAAGCTGGTTTCATCTTTGTATTTTTTCCTAAGGAGACTGTACATGCCAGAGTACCAGCATACTCCCATGGAATCATTTTATGAATGTCCCAATGACATCTCCAAATGTTACATCCTAGGTTACTTACTGCTATGCTACAAGTTTAAGCTATTCTGGACTGTAATGTGTAACATGATCCGTTTCCAAACAGATGTCCCCAGACAGTCCCACCCATTTTATACTATTTCACCATGGTGATGCAAGCTTACCATGCCTCTTTCATAACACTGCCACCACAGAATCATTATTTAGAAAGTGGTGATGCTGGCATGATGCCTGTCCTTACCACCCACTGAAAATTAGTTATAATCAAGTGAGTCTGGTTCTAGTCTTCTCATTACGCAACTTCTTTGAGATCCCCAATAAAAATACTCAGCTTCCTATTCTGGGAATTGTACCCCAAATAAGTTCTTGAGGAACCTCTATCCATTATACAGAATTTTGTAATAAAATTTCAACACTGTCAGGAGTAAAAATGGACCAAGAATAAAGTAACTCCCTCCTCATGGTGCTGAATTTGAAGTAAATGCAATGTAACTTCTTTAGAATGAAAAGCTCTTCCTCCTACCACGTTATTTACTGTTACCCATGCCTGCCAGTGGTACCTGCTGCTTCCTCTTTCCCAACACCAGGTTACATGAAGGCTGATAATACTGCAGACTGGCTTTGCCATCAGTCTGTCGGACACCACCTAGCCTTGCCTTTGGGATAGTTGTAATTCAGCAGAAGTCTAGCCTTACAGGTTGGAGACTAGCTTCCATTCATGAGTATTGAATTTTAAACTCAGGCACTACCCATCTGTCAGTGAAAGTGTGTGTGTTGCTTAATGGACTTCAAAGGAACTTCATTAAAATGCAAACAGGGACAAAGCTGGTGACTGATGTTTGAAAACTATGCCCATGAAAACCCTATAGATCATGATGAGCTGATTGTTTTGCTTGGGACTGTGATGGCAGGGAGCATTGCCTCTCCATTAAAGTCATCCCAATTTCACTAGGGTTTTATTTAATGCAAATCTGACATGCTGTGTCACCAAAAAAGAGGCTACGTATAGATGATTATAAATGTGAAGGAACTGCATACTATTTAATAATAGGTCAGTAAATTTACTGACAATCCAATCATCATTTGCTTTTTTTATATGTACTTTTTCACATCCAAAATCTGGCATGAGGAGAACTTGGTACTTTTCCAAACCTCAGGTGTGTCTGACTGAGCTGCAATTGTTACTGGTTAGGGTGTGAGCCAAAGGCCTGCTAGGGAGTGGGTTGGGCCTGCCATTGGGAAGATCTGTGATGCCCCTTGCCTGAGTGTACTTTCTGATTTCCTTGGGATAGTCCTTGTTCATAAGTCCCCACAGGCACTGGCAGAAGAGAAACAGGAAGGGAAGGGCTAGAATAAGCAACAAGGTGTTGCATACTTGGTGGTTTTGATAATCCACTGCTTTGGGAGCTGAGATGGAAGGGGCATTTACTTTTCTTCTCTCAGGTGACCATTTTGCCACACATGGAAGTTTTTTTGGATGCCATGTATCCCAAGAAGCTCTGACTGCTCCTAAGAGCGGTGAGATACTTACGGGTCAAGTGAGATAGATAAATAAAGAAGGGACAAAATTCGTGTGGATAATATGCTTGCTGTGGGAAAAATACTGCTATAGTATTCATTTTAACAGGTACAGGAACCTAGTGACACTGGTTGTTGTTGTTGTTATGTGCCGTCGAGTCGTTTCCGACTCATAGCGACCCTATGCACAATAGCTCTAAACCCTGCTCTATCCTGCGCCAAC